AGAAACTTCGTGGAGGTCAGGACTTGGTCTAAAACTTTCTGTACTTCTGTGTCTTCCTGTGTGATTAATTCATGTTTTAAACACCCGTACGAAAAAAGAAAACTAAGGAAAACAGTTTCTCTTCTGTCCTCGGCCGTAGTTGGAGAACCTGGTGGAAGAGGGAGCAGTGTTCCTGTGTCCCCTGAATTACGCTATACTGCTCGAGAGAATGGAAAGATATGACTTTACTCGCTGGTACACTTTCATCTACCGCGCCTTCGCTATGAGGACGCCCGTCCCCTCCTCTTCCTGGAAGAGCCTGGTCACCCCGCTCTCGGGCGAGGTCTGGGCCGCCGTCGTCGTCGCCACGGGCCTCGTGACCTTGACTCTCAGACTCGTAGGTAACCTAGTTGCGCGTTGTGTGTGTGTGTGTGTGTCTGTGTGTGCGTGCGTGTGTGTGTGTGTGTGTGTATGTGTGTGTGTGTGTGTGTGTGTGTGTGTGTGTGTGTGTGTGTGTGTGTGTGTGTGTGTGTGTGTGTGTGTGTGTGTGTGTGTGTGTGTTACTGTCTGTTATCTATTTACTATATACTTCCTCGTACAGACCTCCAAGTATTCAGAGTACCATCTACTCACCCGCACTCATCATGCATATACACCACATGCCTCTCAACAGATGAACCGTTTAGGAGGCGACTGGTACCCCAACCTCGGCAAAGGAATCCTGCAGATCTACAAGACCCTCGTGGGACAAGACCTCGCTCAACGGCGCCTGAGCACCACAGCGACTCGGCTCGTCATCGTCACGTGGCTGGCATTCGCGCTCATCATCGGCGTTGCTTACAGGACGAAACTCATGGCTGCCCTCACCTTCCGCACGCAACCTCCTCGCCCCGAAACCGTTGAAGAGCTCGTGCAAACAGTGGACAGGTGAGTGTGGGGGAGTTGGGCGAGAAATGCGTGAGAACAACTTGAGAATGAACGAGCGAAGTTTAGTTGATTGTGGTATGTTAAATCAAGGAAGGTATATAACTACTATCGAAAATAGGGCACAGATATGACGACTTCTGTTGACCTTTTTCCATAATATTCATTATTTTTATAATTATTATCATCGCCAAAAATGGATCACTAATATAACTACATGACTATATTATAGTGATGATTGTTACCATTATTATTGCTACCATTATTCATACTCCTCTTTACTATAGCTGTTATCACTATTGTGATTCCTTCTGGTATCACAATTAGCATATTATCCTTAATATATATTATTGGATTAGCAATGGCATTATTATCAACTGTACAATAATTAACATTATAATACATTTCATTATCCTCTCGTCTAATGATTGTTACTATTATAATGATGATTGTTATCATTACCATCATATTTACTGCCATCGTCGTTAACATATACAAATGTAAAAGACTAAGGATAAAGAATAAAGAAATACACACAGGAAGGAGATACAGATCTAAATCCAAACATTAACAAAAGACAAAAAAAAAACAAAAAAAAAACATGACACGAACCACATTAAGAAATAAAGATCATATAAAATAATTTACAGCAAATGAATATTTAATAATCTAACGTTGATGAATACCAAAAAAAATAATTGATTTTCCTTTTCTCCAGACTCTGCTCAGCGCTTTCCATTACTCGCACTTTGCAGATCTTAGCAATATGTAATGTATATCGCAAAATAAGCAAAAGAGCTATCAAAACAGGGAGAACGTTAATAATAAACGTATTTATGATACAGACAATAACAACATCGAAACGAAAGAATCCTTTTCTTTACCCGTCCTCTCTCTCTCTCTCTCTCTCTCTCTCTCTCTCTCTCTCTCTCTCTCTCTCTCTCTCTCTCTCTCTCTCTCTCTCTCTCTCTCTCTCTCTCCTCTCTCGTCTTCGTGAGCCCCGCAGGATGGATTCTTCCCCACGACGCTCCTTATAGGCGGCAGTTGGACCGCCTCCTCACGCTTTTCGTCGAGGTGGGTGGCGGGGTCGCGGGTGAACTTTGCTTGTTTGTTTTTTTTTCTCTCTCTCTCTCTTTCTCTTCTTTTTCACAGACGATGCCAGTGTCGTATTTCGTATTTTCATTGTTGTTGGTGTTATTGCCGTGGTTGATATCATTATTATTATTATATTAAATAATTGCCAGTTACACCAACATCATCATCATTATCATCGCCATCGTCATCGTCAACGTCAACGTCAACGTCAACATCAACATCAACATCAACATCAACATCAACATCAACATCAACATCAACATCAACATCAATATCAACATCAACATCAACATCAACATCAACATCAACGTCAACATCAACATCAACATCAACATCATCATCATCATCATCATCATCATCAACAACATCAACATCATCATCATCATCATCATCATCATCATCATCATCATCATCATCATTTTCATTTTCATCATTACACTTAGGAAAAACTCACCTAAAACCCTAATCTCTAACAAAACCTCCCTGACTCTCCAGAACGGCC